AGACACAGTTGAAAATATTACTCAGAAAAAAAAAAAAAGAACAAAAAGAAATTGGGTTGGAAAAAAAATTAAAACATTAGAGGATAAATCCATGAAATGTAATATTCAACTGAGGACCTCAGAAAGAAAGGACAGGGGAGAAATGAGGTAATTCAAGAAAATTCACAGAATTAAAAACAGGGGCGTGGGGCCAGCAAGTGGCATGGTAGGTAAGGTGCTGGATCCCACACAGCCTACTCAGCAGTTTGAGTCCTGAACCTGATGGCTTGAAAATCATGCTGGGCCCACGTGTGTGCATTCCCAAACACCCTGTGAGGAGGCCAGATGAGAGGTACTGAGGGGTGGCCCCCAGGGGGACTCTCGCTTCCCCTCTATGTCTCTCTGGCAAGTACATATATCCTACAGCCAAAAAGTTAAAAAAAATAATTCCCACAAGACTTTGACTTTACGGACCCAAGTGCCCAACACAAGGAGAAACAGACCTAAATCAAAGAAAAATTTAGAACACCAAAGACAAAGAAAAGAACCCTAAAAGCCTCCTGAAGGGAACTTGATAAGGGTTTGATTCATGTATATACAGGTTACATATTCCTTTTTTAAAAAGAGAATTATTTTATTTAACTTTATTTATTTACTTACTTATTTCTTAATTTGACCAGAGAGGGACAGAAAAAGAAAATGAGAAAGCAAGCCACCAGGTCTGGGACTCGAACCGTGGTTGGCCATGTGGGAGCCCAGCGCCCCTAATCACCACACCACCTGCCAGCCCAATAGGATACACATTCCTTATCTGAAATGTTTTGGGATTTGGGTTTGTTCAGATTGGCGAATATTTGTGCACATAAAGGATGAAGAATCCGGTGACCAACGCCATGACATCGGAAATTACAAGACAAAACGGCAAAGCTTCCAAGTGTCTAGGGACAACACGCCCAGCCTGGAGCCCCACGCCCTGCTGCACTCGCCACACTGCCTGCTGGCGAAAGCTACCTTTCACACGCAAGGTCCTGGGAAGCTGCCTCTCGCTCCTCCTTCCTCGGGAAGCTACTAGAAGGTGAACTCCGCCAAGGAGAGTGTGAGCCAGAAAGAGGACGTGAGAGCCACAGAGGCCCCTGTCCTAGAGACGGCCGCGACGTCCCTGGAGCACTGCCAGGCCCTCCCAAGGTACCAGCTGGGCAGAGACCGCAGGAGCAGCAGCCAGGCCAGGCAGAAGGAGGTCAGAGGCCTGGGAGGGCACTTGAGAGGACAGAGTGACAGTGACCCCGACGTGTGGGTGTGTTGGGAGAGAAAGAAAAAGGAGTCATGGGGAGCAACACGGGTCGGCTGAGAAACACCCTCCACCGGTACGACACTGCAGCTGCTCGCCACAACCGCCATGCGGCGCTGACAAGTGGGGATCGCAGTGTGGGTCGGGAGAGCCCTAGAAAGAATTCAAGGCAATCGGTAATGCTGAAAACTGCGAAAACCAAAACAAAAAAGTGTCAGTGAAAGCCACACTACTTGGAGATGCAGAAGTAAACACCAAAGGAAAAGCCAGTGGTCACCTGCTGACCAGGCAATGCTGCATGGACCGGGCCCCCCCACTGCAAAACAAGCCCACAGAGGACACAGCTGGGTGTGTGTCAACGGCTTCAGGGCCAGACGTGCCCTGCAGAAATGCAGTGGTGCTCATCCTTCTAGTGTGCTGGCCACCCCGAGGCCAGGGCGCACTTGTGTACCCAGCATGGGGATGGGGCTCTGACGGCAGGCACCCGGCATATGGGGCTCTGATGGGTGGGCACCCGGCACGGGGATGGGGCTCTGATGGGCGGGCACCCAGCCAAAGCTCCTGCCTGCCACGGAGTCTGAAGGCAGCAGGGAGCCGCTCTCCCTCTAACGTCTACACTGAGACTGCAGCGGAGAAGTAACTGGGAATCGGTCTCAGAGGAAACCAGAATAACCTCGAACTCGGGGAACACACGAGCGAGCGAGCACAAGACACCCACACAACGGTGTAACGGAACACCCGAGACTCCCTCCCAGCTGAGGGCATGGGGCAGAGGCACATCAGGACCATCAGGCTCTGTCACAGGCCCACGAATGTCCCGAAGGCATGCTCCTGGCCCTCGGCCTGTTACTGGAACTCCCAGCAATGCTCACTGAGGCGTCAGGAACGCATGGAGGGCCCAGAAGGCACCGAATGAGCCGAGGGTGGCTCTCGGCCGGCCGTGCTTGGTCTCCTCCTCAGCCTCTCACAGGGGCCAGGGAGGGCCGGCCGCTGACAATGGGAGAAGCAGAAACAGCCCCGGACCATGCATGCCAGGGTTCCACCTCCTCGCCTACAAGACCCAGATCAAAGCTCGGCCCTGCCTCTCAGGATTGTTTCAACACAGAAGGCGAGTTCCTAGGCCCGTGACGGGTGGTGCTGACGGCTTCCACACCTCGGCGCTCGCTCTCACTGACCTTGCAAACCAGGACCCCAGGCCAGCAGCTGGTGTGGAGGCTAAGGCGCTGGGTCCCACATGACTACCCATTGGAGACCCCCACCTGGTGGCTAGAAAAGCATGGGAAGGGACCAAACATGGAGGACAAAGGACTGGGGGTTGGCCATGGGGGAGTGATTTTTCACTTTCTCTGTTGTCTCTCTCTGGCAAGTGCATGCGCCCTAAAGCAAAAGGGGAAATCTTGAAAAAGGAAAAGAAAAAGAAAAAGAAAAAGAAAAGAAAAGAAGAGAAAAAAAGAAAGTGGCCTCGGGCCTGTGGCCAAGTAGGAGAGGCAGGGAGGACCGCTGGTTACTCCCGGCTGCGCTGAGCCTTCAGCCTGGCCTGCCAAGGCCTGCACCCGCCTGAGGTACTGAGACCCCAACTGTGCGGTCCCCAGCAGCGCCAAGGGCAGGGCCACGCGCAAAGACGACAACACAGGAGAGCGGTCTCCCTGCCTGGGCCCCCTGGGCGGCGCAGACAGCAGGGTGGGCGCTTCCGACGGGAGGATGGAGGAGGCAGGAGCGAGCAGACCTAGCACTTTAAAAGACAAGTGGGGAGGTACAGACCGTGCACACTAGCGAATGCAAAATATTCTTTGGGGACAGCGCAGCAGGTCAGGGGACCAAGCGAAAACAATGGCCCCATTCACGAAACAGGCTTAGCTCGGCGCTCCGGAACCTCTCGGGTCGCCTTCCAGAATCCGAGGAAGGCTGGGCTTCCCTCATGCAACATGGGCGCTTGGAAGGAAACAGCTCGGGCCCCCCAGCCGAGCGCGGGGTGAGCCGGTGCCCGCCGCCAGCCCGCCGCACCCCGCGCGGCGCTCGGGAGGAGCGACAGTTAGGGACGTGCGCTGGAGGGCGGAGGCGGGGCTGACACCTCCCCGCCCGTCCGGGAGGCGGGTCTTCATCCACCAAACAAACCAGAAAAAAAGGAAAAAGGAACTCCCCATGTTCCTGTAAATAATTAATTAGCCCCTACTTGCTTGTTTGTTTAGCATGAGGAATGCTCCCCCACTGAGACGCATTTATTGCTGAATAAATTTAAATATCTAATCTTCCCTTCATGAATATTACAGTACCCTAAATAGCGGCCAACACACCCTCAGTGCCTTGGCGAAGGCCCGCCGGAGATGCTTGCCGCCCTCCGCAGCCCTGGGGAGGCCCTGGCTCTGCCCCGCCTGTCCCCAGATATGCCCAGGGCCTC